TCCATAAACAAAAGTTAACATCAATATAACATTAATTCCATAAACAAAAGTTAACTTCAATATAACATTAATTCCATAAACAAAAGTTAACATTAATATAACATCGATGAACCATTTTATAATGAAACCTTTTCACATTAACGTTAATTCCATAAAGAACAAAATATAACATGCACCCGTTTCATCATATATTTTCAACTGTTTTGAAACGTTTGATGAAACGTTGCATCAATAGTTCATTTTCCTTATTCCACTCATATGAACATGATTCATCATTATGAACTTTTTCATTATGAAACAGTTTCATGAAACCTTTTCATTAAAGTGGATAATATGCCTAGAGTATTAATTTGGACAATATGTCTAGAGTATTAGATCATGAACATGCTTCATCATTATGAACCTTTTCATTATGAAACAGTTTCATGAAATTTGCCCCATATGAATCTTTTCATTATGAAACAGCTTCATTATGAACATGTTTTATCATTATGAAACATTTTCATTATGCATTTAATATAATATGCAACCGTTTCTTCGTAATGAAACCTTTTCATATGAACATTAATATATTATGCTATGGTAATATGAAACTTTTTCATTTTAAAACCTTTTCATATGAAACATGTTCATAACTGGTAATTTTTGATACAATGAACCTCAAATCATTCATTCATTACATAACAAGATAAAATCTTCATGAATGTTTCCAGCTTCATTGAATTAAAAAAAAAACAAATCAATTTTTAATATTATAAAATATTAAAATCTTTAAATCATTCCATTTATATAATTTCCATTATTAAATTTCCTTATTTAATAATCCTTAATAACTTCCTTATTTATGAAAAAAATAATGAAAATGACCAAAGTGACCTTATTGATTAAATTTAATTAAAAAAAATGGAATTTTCCTATTGGTCGATTTTGGTTTACACGGTTTTTTAGAATGACATGGTTTTCATTTGAACCTGCCCCTATATATATATATATATGGAAATTTTTTCAAACGGTGACATTATTTGACTAAAGAAATGATACTAACAGGATACAAACTCGGGTTTGAGTTGGAATAAAAGTCTTGCAAACCAACTCTACTAAAGATAATTTGTTCTCATTGTAGTTTCGAAATACATGCGGTGACACAAAACAAATTAATATGGTTTGCATCTTTCACAAAGAACTAATAATCTAAAACCAAAAAAAAATTTCATAAAGAAAACTTAAATTCACATGTACCAAAAGAAATTGAGTAATATAAAACCATATCGAGTAATATACAAAATTTATCGAGTAATTGTATTTTGACTTGACATCCAAAAAGTTTCATATTAACATCCAAAAAATAACAATTTTAGATTATAAACCTAGTTAGGAAATAGGAAATTATGAATTACCGTTTTAGTTGAAATACATAATATGTATATATATATATATATATATATATATATAATTTATTAATTAATATATAACGGGTACGGGACGGGGTGGGGAGTACCATACCCGTCCCCGTCCCCATCCCCGATTTAGCGGGGAAACCCCGATCGGGGCGGGTGGACTGGGTTCCCCGACGGGTCGGGGCCCATTCCCATACCTATAAAATACTGATCCAAAGTCAACAATTTTGACCTAAAAAACAAGATGTTAAATTACAAGTTCATATAAAGAAGCTTTGATGATTACCTTTCATCCAACTAATAATCATGTAATTTAATATGAATGTCCATCCATTTTTTTCAATTCAGAGCAGTCCTCAAGGAAATCCAATTGAAAGACCCAAGAAAAAAGGAGCAACGATTTCAAGTCATCTCGTTTAAGGTACAGATTTCTAAACTTTTTTGTTCATATAATTTCGTTTAAATATGTTTATGAACCCGTAAGCTTTCGTTTAACTCATGTTTATTCAAATTGTCCCTTACCACCTATTTCCATTCACTCGTAATTACATGTGGATCTACAGTCCAATGTACAGGCCTGTGTGGCCATATGTTTGGCACTTGTTTTATAAGTTGATATACAAGTGTATGTGTTTTTCGAGCTCGATTTATCCTTTCATATTTCACTTGTCAGATTACGATATTTAACGGTTTCTTTAAGATTTCGTACCCGTATTGCCTGACATCTTGAACCTAAGTTTTGCATGCTAGCAATACCTTTTTGTACTATAATTGTTTATCCATGCACCGCGCATTTGGCTCAACCGTGTTTCCTTTTCTTCCTCACGGCAGGTAATTAAAGGGGGTTGCTAAGATTCCGAGAAGGAGAGTATACGAGGTTCGATTGCAAGAGGTTATAAGAGGTTTATTGATGTTTGTGCTACTATTTGATTTCTTTCATTTGTAATTAGAGTAGCGTTTTTTTTTTCAAGACTATGTTTGATTTTAGTTGAATTATTGGGAGACATATGAAATCATTTTTGTTGGAGTATTAATTCTATTGGAGACTTTATTTTAGAGGTTTTTTATACCTGTTACATTATGTTTGAAGTAACTCCCCCTTCCTTTGGAATGGGTGCGTTACTGATAAACTAGCCCAAAAACAAACTGTTGCCTACTAAAGTAGTTGATGAATGAGTCATATTTGGTAAAAACAAGTTGATAGGTTAGATTATAATGTTACATGATTTAAACAAACATGTTGAAAATTAATTGAAAGATATTTGGAAATTTTTTTAGAGTTAATTGAAACAAATTACGAATATAAATCAGGGACAATTTTCATTACATATAGTTATGATACTAAATACAAATTATAATTGTGAGGGAAAAATGACAATTATATTACAATCGATGACATCCAAGCTTTGACATATGTATCACCACAATACATCTTTGTTAATCATACTACCTACCACGACCAACTGAAATATCGATGATTCCTCGTCATTTGGATGGCACCTCCTTCTTGTGTTGGAGCCGGGAGCTCCTGAATGAGACTGAAATTCGTCTCTTCTTCTATATCTTCATCAAAAACAAGTCTAAAACCACATTCTTTTATCTCAACATCATCATTATCTTCAAACCAAAAAGTAACAAAATTCTTTGCCTCCTGCCATTCACGATAAACCCGAGTCTCAAAACAAAACCATATGATACATGACTTAGGGTTTTTAGTGGAACCACATATAAATCGATAGTTGTGAACCAAAGAAGTCCCATCAAAGTTGTCCACATGAAAGCCTGGTAAATTGTTGTAATCTTTGTGATCATAATAAGACTTTTTCTGCATCAAAACAACACAAAATCCATATCCCCTCAACTTGTTGTAGCAGAAATTTGAAGGCAAATCGACCTGTAAGTGATTTTCCATACTTGTTTCTGTAAACCATTGTGGAATTTTATTTCCATGATATTTTATATCCAAATGGTTATTGTCTTGTCCACCGAAGATTTCACGTATGTTACTCGGGAACTCCATAAATTTAAGAAAAAAAGAAATTTGGTTTCTACAACTGTGGGAGGTTTTAGATGAGTTAAGATCAAGTGAAGGCTGACACATACAAAACTGGCTTTCAATACTAACATTCCTAAACAAGTTTGGACAACCGTTAAAATACATGACTAAGGATGAATGAATATTAAAATTGCTAGGTGGAATTTGATGCAAGGAGGTGCAACGAGATGCAGCAAGATACAAAAGGTTWGGTGGAAGTTCTGGAAGCATTTCCAGCTTCTTGCAACCCGAAAGGATAAAAAGCCTAAGACGATAAAGTTGACTCAGACATCCAGGTAAGCTAGTAAAGTTGTTCCAACCCAAGGATAGAGATTCTAGACAWGATAAGCCTSCAATGCTATCAGACACTTCCAATATATTGCAGCAGCTAAGATTTAATTTTCGTAAGAAACATAAATCCACCAATGAAGGCATTACCAGACTTTGGGGATGTTGCATCTTACTTGGAAACCACGAAGGTTGAGAAATTGAACCCCACCATCTAGACYGGATCCTCTTCCCATGTCGACCAAATCCCAATACTTGAAGGTTGTTTTGAGAGAATACAAAAGAAGGAAGTTCCGTTATGGCGGTACCATCGATACAAAACTCTTTCAAAGTCTGGATTGTGCCAGAGAATTCAGGAAGTTTGTCCAGTTTTGAGCAACCCGAGAGATTCACAACTTCAAGAGAATCCATTTCGACTTTGCAAGGGAATCTCCTAAAACATTTGCAATCTTCCATATTCAGAACAACAAGCTTCTTGAGCATCCCAAAGGATGGGTGGACTTTAACCAAATTCACACAACCTTCAAGAATGAGTTCTTCGAGATTTGTGATCCTTGTGAAATTGGGGGTACTTGTTAGGTTACGACAATGCCTTAGCTTCATCACTTTCAACCTTTCAAAACACTAACATCAAGGACAAACAGGAAAACACTTAGTTAGATCTCCAGGTATTAAAAACATAGGAGGAATGTATATACAAAGCAAAATAAGTACCTTAGGCGATGTCCAAAGATTTTTGATGTGGCTGTAAGACAAGTCAATGGCAACAATGTTTTCTGGATAGAAATCTGAAGGGAAGCACTTGAAAGGGAATCCATGCCAATAAAATAACCTTAACTTATTTGATAAAAATTTCAACTTCCCGTCGTAATTCATCTTAGATTCCTTCCACAACTTCAAATCAAATTCATGCCAAAGGCGTCTGAGTTCTTCATCACATATTTTTAGGATCCGCAAATTCTTCATTTGTGCAAAAGCTTTACCATCAATGTGAACCTTCAGAAAATATTCCTTTAGCAAAAGGTGAAGGACTTCAACCGCTTCTGTTCCCTAGATCCAAGTAAAAAGAATATGGAACATATAGTTTAGATCGAAAGGAGTGACGCATACCAAAAATAATCATATGCCACTTCTTACCTCGTTTTCATTCAATACATCATAAACCTCCGATGAAATCCACAACCTGCTTCGCTTCCCAGGGGTGTTGGACTCTTCGCGTACAAT